GCTCATTGGCTCTCGCCGGTTTCGTCATAGATTGCGACATGCCGTATTTCCGGTGATGCGTGTTCTGAATGAGAAACGCGCGCCTTTACGGAGTGGATCAGGATAGTATTTGCATCGTTTAACAACTTAAATTTAAATTCTTGTGATTACACGTGTCTGTATGTTGTGTTTCTCTTATTTACTGTATACTTTATACACACACTCTTTATTGGTTGATTTTTTCTTTATAAAAATAAAACCTTTTTTATGCAATACATTTTTTATTGCATGGTTACATGATTTGTGGATTTTAAGGCTGATTTTATATTTTATATATATTCTATTTCTATTCTATATAAAATTACAGAGTTTGAATGTAAAAATACAGCTAAATATAAAACTAATAAGATTTACTTTAAAATTACAAAAAAGAACATTAAATTGTTAGTATGGACATAAACCTTTAATATAATGAGCTACATTATTTAATTGCAGATTATTTTTGTAATTTTACGTAAATTTGTACATAGTTTAAGAAAACAGAAAAATACTGTATAAATAATACAGTATTTTTTTGTATAAAAAAATTAGAATTATTGTAATTTGTCATTAATGGAATAGTCAAGTAATGTTCTTTTTAGCAGCATCATATGACCCCTTTAAATTTTTTGAAATAATGAAACATTGACAGGAGTTAATTAGTTTAATTAATTAATTGAAATGAGTCTGACAACAGCCAGTGTTCCACACAGAGATCTGATCACACTGAGACAGACGAATCAAAATGAGTCCAGAAGAACTGTGGCAACGTCTCCAAGATACTTCAAGAAACCTACCTGCAAAGCTACAGTACTCTTAAAAGTTTTAGGCACTTGTGTAAAAATGCTGTAAAATGAGGATGCTGTCAAAAATAATGTCAAAAATAGATTTTCTTTATCAATTAACTTTTTACTATTAACTAAATTAAATCAACATTTGGTGTGACCATCCTTTGCGTTTAAAGCAGCTTTTGCCCTAGGTGCACTTGCGCATAGTTTTTCAGGTACTTTATTAAATACAAATACTAACTCAAAAAATACATTTATGCATAAAAAACACACGCACAACTGTGGCTATACAATTGAGGATTTTTTATTCAGCCTTTTTTAAACCGAATGAACTGTGTATTTCTGAATGTCAAACACTGGAAGATCATCTCATCACAACTGCAGTGCTTGCAGGACTTGTAGTGGTTTCGTTGTCCATGATAACAAAATCAGCAGGAGAGGTGTTTGTGTCAGTGATGTCTGGCTCGCCCAATTCCTCCTGGAATAAGCACAGAGGGTAAAACTTTAACTTCAACTTCAGAGACTAAAAGTAGACATTTATATTTTAAATTAAATTAAGTTTATGCATTTAGCAGATGCTTTTATCCAAAGCGACTTACAGTGCATTCAGGCTATAAATGTTTTCTCAGTATGTGTGTTCCCACAACTTTTGCGCTGCTAACGCAATGCTCTACCACTGAGCCACAGGAACATTATATTACACTTAACATATTTACTGCTAATAGAGTGGGGGAACTATAACGTCAGAACCCGGAAGAGTAATTCGCCGTGGGTTCCTTCTAGATTTTCCTATGGGGTTTTATAATGGGGTTTTTCATTTAAAATAAAGCCTGTGGTAAACGTAACTTGACGATACTTTTACGTTTTGTAACACACGTGATCAGTTAGTGTCCCTTCCCTTTCGGGACTCAAAACTTTGTTGTTTTTGTTACGGTCTCTCTGGACGTGCCGGAGTCTCAGAACAAGGAGTGTCTTTTGGAAGGGTACCTTTATCCCTTCCTGATGAGGATGAGATTGCAATTTGGTGCTTCTCCATTTCCATGCTGTGATTGGCTGTTTCCATCATTTAAAGGACACGTTGTGTCCTTTCCTCCTTTCCTCCTGTGGAACGTATTTGCATAGTCCAAACACACATTTAGAAAAGTGTCACTAAAGTTTTACCGGTGCATTCTTCACTTATCAAACCACAACCAGAATACCTTTGGCAATGTTATGAACACATTATGTCCAAAAATGATCGAAAAAGATTGAACTGTCATGCATGCATGCATTCATTTGTCCATTAAGAGGTGAGTTTGTGTAAGATTTTGCACTACACATCGCTGTCACTCAGAATACTTATTTCTCTGAATAAATATGAGATGGGTGTGTTGTAGTTTGCATCAGTTTTAAGGTTTAAAAACATGGATTTGGATGGATCTCTGTGATCTCTCTCTTTGCTTCACCCACTGCTGCTGCGTCCAGAGGACATAAGGAATTTTTATTGCTGTCACAGGCCAAAACTGGTGAAGGGCAGAAACTGCATTTTGACCAATGAGAAGTTCTGTCCTTCCCGGGCTTGGTGCCAAAGGTCTTCTTCTTGCCCTCTAAGAGGTGTCTGGCTGTTGTCCTAGCATCTTTATCAGATAGCGTTGGACAGTTTGCTTATCTTAGTCCTACAAGATCCAATCAACATGTAGCAAACCTTTGTCCACTATTGTGGTCAGAGAGGAATGTGGAATGTGATGTCCACTACACTAGCATTTTATATAAGTCACAAGAACTGTGGCACTATATTACAGTGCTTTTACCAGAGTTAAGGAGGTTTCAGGCATTCACATTTAGATCATTTACTTTATTATATTATTGGCTGCAGTGATGGTACATATCTTGAACATCCTATTGGATCTTGACCTTTTTGTCTCTGTTTTGCAGTTACTCTGGGGCGAAACCAGCCCCTGAAGAGAGAGAAACCCAAATGGAAGAGCGACTACCCAATGACCGATGGGCAGCTGTGCAGCAAGCGTGATGAATTCTGGGATACAGCACCGGCTTTTGAAGGCCGCAAGGAAATTTGGGATGCACTTAAGGCGGCTGCCCAGGCCTTTGAAAGCAATGACCATGAGCTTGCTCAAGCCATAATTGATGGTGCCAGCATAACATTACCACATGGTAAGAGGCGCACGTCACAGATGCACAGGTGCTTTGCATTATGTATTCAGATCGTTTTCTGTCAGCTGGGGGGGGTCTTGCTTAGTTGGGGACAAAGAGTCGAAAAGTAAGCAGATCTTGCAGTTTTTAAGGCATTTGTGTAGGCAGAAACACTGTTATTCCACGCAATTTGAAATACATCTGGTTTTGTTTTATTCCAGCTGCACATTTTTTGGGCTGTTCTCTTCAGGGCGTGAATGAGCTTGTTATATCATGGCATCGGATTGTTTTCCTTAAAGGAATAGTTCTCCCAAAAATGGAAATTTGTTGTTAATTTACTCACTTTTTTTTTCTCGAGTAGAACAGTAAAGAAGATTTTTACCTGAAATCATGGTCCTTAGTGATTCATAAAATACAAGTCAGCAGCTATTGTTTTTTTTTTGAGAATAAAAAAAAAAATTCAAGGAACACAAAATTAATAGCCATGACTCCTGATGATATATTGAGGTTTTATGAATCGAAACAATCGGTCTGCGCGAGAAACTGATCATCATTTACATCATTATTACCTATAATCAATAGTCTCAGGCAATGGGGAAATAGATTATTTTCCGTAAACTGGTTCTTCCAGAAAGTTTGTTTCAATTAACTGGTTCAGTTCACCTGTTTGTTTACGTAATCATGCAATTTTGTAATGTATATACAATTATATTATTAAAGCACCCAATAATGATGTGAAATGCGGTTGTTTTGTTGTGATGTCTAAACCATTTAAAGTGAATAAACTAGTCTTCATCAGCTCACCTTTTTACATAAACAATGAGAAACCATAAAAATTTTAATTTCACAGCTTAATTCAAAGTGCTACGATGTGCTGAACTATTTTTAGAGTTTACCACAAAAAAAATGCTGTTTTATAAGAAAAGTCACTGACATTTTGCGACAGGTGGGATTCAGCTTACAGCACTTTTCATTCATTCCTATGGTAAACAACGACTGAGTGGTCATTTGATTTTTTGTTTAATATTGAAAGTAGAAAAATGAGAAACGGCTCCTTTTTAGTTTTTTTATTTTTTGGAAAAAAACGAAAAACAAGAATTCAGCTTAATTTTTCATTTTTCGTTCAGGGGTAGAAAAATGAATAAACAGCTTGAATATTTGATTTCTACATGTGGGTGGGAATTAAACGCCCCTTTCTGCTGATTGGTCAGACAAAAAAAGATCAAACCGTGCCGTCATCAGTTCTTCC